GTTCACTCAGCTTCTTGAATCTTTAGGTTTATTTCTTTTGCCAAATTCAGGAAATTTCCAGCCTTTAGTTCTTCAAGTACTTTTTAGTCCTACCCGCTTTTTCTTCTCTTGGGATTCTGATGACATAAATGCTAGATCCTTTGTTATTGTTCCAAAAGCCCTGAAGCACTGCTCATTTTTCCCCCAGTCAGTTTTCTGTCTGCTGTTAAGATTGGACAATTTCTATTTTCATGTTCACTAATTTTTTCCTCTCCCCACTTCATTCTGCTGTTGAATTCCTCTACTAAGCTTGTTATTTTGGCTACTGTATTTTTCAGTTCAAAATCTCCTACTTTTTGTACTTTCTATTGCTTTACTGAGACTTTTTAATTTTTGCTGAAACTTTCCATTTTTTCCATCTGTGCTAGGTAATATTAACACTAACAACCCTGTCATCCTAGTGTTGGTATCTACTGATTGCCTTTTGTCAATCAATCTGAGAAACATAATGAGTGAGATGTGCAATGTTTGGGGGATGGTCACGCTTGAAGCTTTGACTCGAGGGGGTAGGGGGGAAGGGGCAATATACATGACCTTAATATTTGTACCCCCATAATATGCTGAAATAATAAAAAAAAAAGAAGTGATTTTCTGATTAATCTGGACATTTTGGGTATTACGTTATAGGAGTCTGGATCTTATTTAAACTTTCTAATGGCTTTTCCTGATACTGCTCAAAGAGAGGAAAGGGAGGTACTATATATTACTTCTAGGGAGGGTCCCCACTTGGCTTCTGTTGATACCAGTGGGGGGATGGGCACTCTGTCACTGCTGGGTGAGGAGGCAGTATCTCACCAATGCTCCTAACCTGGCCTCACCGGCTCCACAGGGAGAGGCCGGACCCTCCAACTGCGGAATTGTAAGGGACTGACATATATCTTCCTAGTCTAAGAATTAAAGTTAGTGAGTAATGTAGGTGGTTCTGCCCAGAGTGTTTGAAAGTAATCTGTTCTGGACAGGGTCCCTGTGATAAACAAGGCTGTTGCCTAGAGGCATAACAAAGGACCTGAGCTGTGAGTAGCAAGAGCTACCCCACCCCACAGCATTGGGGGTCTGGAGGCCACACGATAAACATATTGTTCCTGTGGTTGCTGCGTACGCCCCATAAGATGGCTGGTTAGTCAATAACGGGTAAGACCCCTCAAGGGAGGGGCGACCTAAGCCAGGTACAGCCGCCAGGGTTCAGCTGAAGATCTTAGGGGGTCACCCTAAGAGAAGCTGGGGATGAGAAATGTCCCCTGTGGCTCATCTTGCCCATCCTTGCTAATCTCAGTCCTTTATCTATGCCTAGTGCCTAGAGCAACCACCTTGAAATTCTGAGTCAGGGGATATCTGCTTCCCTAAGGCTACGCATTCCAGGAATTTATGGCTATCATTGCCAAGACTGGGTGATTACGTACAAGGAACTAACTTTAATCTTTCAGAGTATAAAAATAAAACGGACCCGGTATAATATTACTTGAGTCAACCATTTGTACGTGTGTCTGCGTTTTTCTTTGTGTTCTGCGCGTTTGTGTTGTGTGTTCTGTGTTCATCCTCCGTCCTGTAAACGGGCCACAACACTGAATGGTGGTGAAAATCCTCAGTCTCCTCTAAACCTCCTCTAATACCACCCCAGTGGTGGTGGAGAAGGCTGCCTCATTACCTCCAGGTGGGGATGGAAGTCCAGACTCCCCTGAACGTGGTCTGCACAGAATCCATGCAGGGAAAGGGGGGATACTGCTTACTGCCTAGCTGCATCAACATGCTGGTTCTACACTTAGCTTTTTCTGACACCCGCCCTGGCAGGCAGGGTTGGGCTCCTAGTCACAGCCTGTGGAGGTCTAACCTCCCCAGCTGACCACTGATGGAGGGGGGTGGGCGTGAGACCACAGGTTTTTCTATGTTGTCGGCTAAAGTAGAATGGTTGTTGAATAAAAGCTCTCTGTCTCATGGGATGTGCTTTTCCTGATCCTTCGGCTAGAGAGAGCAGGCTTTTATTTGTCGCCATCCATTGGTGTTTCTGGGTTGCTGGCTTCTTCAGTCCACGTCTGGGATAAATGGAGTAAAAGAGAAAAACTCAGGGAACTCACCACCGATTGTTCCTTTCATCCCAAGCTCCCTAGCCAGTGTGTCTTATTTGCTCCTCCTTTCAAAGTCTTATGTTCGTTTTCTTCTATACAATGTCCAGAGTTTATAAATCCATGCTTGATTTTTTTTAATGTTCATTTACATTTCCAGTATTTCCTAAAATTCCCTCAAACTATAATATATATATATACATACACACATATATATATAATGCATAAAACAAAGCAGATCCAATTCTAATGAAATTTAACTTGCTATTCCATGTAAAATACTCTAAGAAGTTTTTCAGAATGAAAGATAAATAAAAACTCAGTTACGGGGATATATAACTGAGGCTAAAATATAAACGGTATGTATCTAATCACTTAATTTCTATAGAATTTGACAGCTGCAGACCAAATCTCATAGTTGTCATAAGCCACATTTTTCTATAATTTTCTATTAAACACTAGGATAGTAAAATATTCGCCTTACCTCAACTAAAAGCTAAGTTATGAAAAGTAGGTGAATCACTGTCTTCTCTTCTTGCCAGTCACAGTTTGGGGGCCTAGCATTCCATAACCATCAACATATCAAACTTTGTTTTCAAATTTGTCAAGTCAGTCTTGATTGAGAAAAATTACGGATACATTCTTTTCCAAGAATTTCAACTGCACACATTACTCTGTACCAAGAACGCCTCTATTATCCTTTCCTTTTCACAGTGCAATTCTTCTTTACTAATGGACATAATTCCAAAGGCTACTTATTGCAAAATCTAGGTACAAAATCCTGAGCTCTAGCTGGAATCCATTTTTATCACAATGTTTAAACTCCTCTTGTAATGCCCACAGATGATGATGATGATGATGAAAATGGAAACAACAACAGTTATCACTAATTAGTACTAGCCCAGGGACTTTACATTCACTACCTCCTCTAACTTTCACAGCAGTCTGACAAGGGAAGTACGACCCATAAAATTCATGTCCTCCTTATACAGATATGAAAAATTGAGATGCAAAGAGGTAAACTCAAGTTCCTGAGGTCACACAACTAGTCAGAGATGGAAGCAACAGGACCTTTTAGATGAGCTGACTCCCAGGAAAAGACTACATCTTTTATCCCTTTCTTTAACAAGAATTTGTCATTAACATGAAGACAGGAAAATGGAATGTCCCCTCCCTCTTGTTGGAAAACAACACAGCAGCTCTGGATTATTTGTCTCAAACCTCTTCCTAGCTAAGTTCTCAAAGAGGGTGTTCTGAGATTCAAGCCTTTTCCCTCACTCCTGTGTCTTTAGGAAAATTATACTTTATTATCATCATTGCTTTTTCTTGTTACATAATATGCACCAAGTATGAAAATTTCAAACCCCACAGAAACGTATAATGTGGTTAGGAAGTAAATTCCTAACTTAAATCAAACCTAAGTGTTAATAGATACTTGTAGAATTTTTCTATATATAGAACTATATCTACATATTCACAGAAATAAATATACATACAGTATATGTATGTATACACACATACATTTCACAAAAGTGAGATACTTCATATATTCTTCCCCAATGCCCTCATTTGTTATTGTTCACTTAATAGCAGAACTTCAATTTTAATCTATGTGACCATAATAGATTAATCAGGGCTTTTATTTTTTTTATAGTATATTTGGCCATTTTATTTTTCCTTCTTAGTGTACATAAAAACATGGTGAATCTCAAGGGCAGGGTAATAGAGTTAAAGAACTACCTTTAAAAATTGACTACAGTTGGTTAGGAAAATCATATTAGCTCAGATTTTCCAAAAGGATTCCAAATGTTTCTTTTCAGAAAATGTTACTTATGAAAGTTTTAACTATACAGGATTTAAGATTTTATATAATTCTTTTTTTTTTTAATTTTAGCGACAGGGTCTCACTCTGTCACCTGGGCTGGAGTGCAGTGGCATGATCACAGCTGACTGCAGCTTCAAACTCCTGGGCTCACAATCCCCCTGCTTTAGCCTCCCAAGTAGCTGGGACTATAGGCACAAATCACCATATCCAGCAATTTTCATAATTTTGAAAGACTTTCTCATCTATATATTCTCAAACTTGATCCGTACACTTTTGCACCATGTAAAAAAAACAAAAAACAAAAAAACTAACTTAAAATGGATCACAGACCTAATGAATTGTAAAACTACAAAACTTCTAAAAGAAAGTTTCTTTTAGAAACTTCTAAAAGACTTCTAAAAGAAACTTTCTTTTAGAAACTTCTAAAAGAAACTTTCTTTTAGAAACTTCTAAAAGAAATTTTAGAAGTTTAGAAACTTCTAAAATCATAAGGAAAATCTTTATGATTTGGGGTTAGGCAAAGATTTCTTAACTGCTACAGCATAAGCACAATCTACAAAAGAAAACTGATAAATCAGGCTTCATCAAAATTAAGAGCTTCTGTTCTTTGAAAAACATATTAGGATAATGAAAAGAAAAGCTGGACTTGGAGAAAATGCACACAAATCACAAATATGATAAGGGAATTATACCCAGAATATACAAAGAAGTCTTAAAATGCAACATTAAACTTTTAAGATAGCCAATTAAGAAAAAATAAACAATGAGTGTACTGTTTTTAATGGCTAATTATTTATATATTATACCATAATTTCTATATGCCATAATTTAGCTATCTAAAACCTTAGGAAATTATTAACCTTATGCTTCCTGGAACTCTCCAGACTCAGTAAGTAGGATGAGTTGGGCTAATTACCTTTTTAATACAAAGCTTGTTAAACCTTATTCAAAAATACCATCAGTGGGTCATCAATGATCATTCCTTCTAGATTTAATTTTGTATCCGTAGCTGCTAGACAGACAGAAAGAAGGGGAAAGAGAGGGAGAAATTTAGGTAGATATATGGTATACTTTACTCTATAAAATAGACTTCTCCATTTTCGGTATAGGCCATCTCCCAGTTCTCAGGTAGAGGACCTAAATTATCCTCTGCAGAAAGAGGTAGGTATTGAGGGAACTTCTGAGAAGGGTCCGTGATGGGAGCGGCGAGGATGCTACTATTCGCAGGCGGTAGTGCTGTTTCCTGGAGCGTGTGCTCGTCTTGTTCACCAGAATCGGCTGCTTAATCATGGGGGGTGGGGAGGAAAGGAGAGAGAGAAAAAAAAAGGCATTCAGCAATCATACCCCAAACCTCAGAAGTACACTGCTGGACACACCTATGTTCCTAAAAGTACTATCCTTTCCTAATTTCCAGACACTGACTATGGCTTCTTTTTTATTCAGATGAAGGTTCCTTAAATAGGAAGCATCAATGTGAACAACAAAACTTATTTTACTTAAAAAGAAGAGGATCCCACTACTGGGTATCTACCCAAAGGGAAAAAAATTATTTAAAAAAAAAGGACACCTGCACTCAAATGTTTATTGCAGCACAATTCACAAAGACGCAGAATCAACCCAAGTGCCCATCAATTCATGAGTGGATTAACAACATGTGGTATAGGTATACCGTGGAGTACTACTCAGCCCTAAAAAGGGATGAATTAATGCTTTCTGCAGCAATTTGGGAGGAACTGGAGATCATTATTTTAAATAAAGTATCTCAAGAATGGAAAAAAACGCACCACATGTACTCTCTAATAAAACTGGAACTAACCAATGGGCCCACAAGTGCACAGAGGGAAGTAAAAATCACAGGAAATCAAACAGCAGGAGGGAGGAGGAGGAGAGGGGCAAAAACCTCACCTAACAGACACAATGAACACTATCCAGGTGATGGGCACATTTACAGCCCTGACCCACGCCATGTACCCCCTTAATATTTTGAAATAAAAATAAATAAAAATAAAAAATAAATAAAATAAAAAAGTTATAAGTAAATATTTAAAAAAAAGGAGAGAAGGAGAAAAAACATGCCCAAATAATGGATTGCTCATAATCTTGGAAACGTCAAAGAAGAAATCAATTCATGACTCAAACCCTAAAGTCTCTTAAACTAAGAAGGCCATCAAAACAGTGATCTGTACCCTCATTCCACAGGAATCATTTGGTTTCATGATTCAGAAGATATCTGAGGGCAAAACAAGTGTCCATGCCAAAAGCACAGGTAGAGTGACATTATTACTCATTTTTGTGTAAATTATTTTAAACATTTTTGGTAGCTACTGGCAAAGATCAAAGGCTGGTAAATTAAGCTGAAAAGATTACAAAAGTTTAGAGTATGGAGACGGCTACACCCATGAGTCAGATTTGAGCCTCTTTAGGAAAAGTAAAGAGAATGTTCCCATGAAAAATAAGACAGTTATTACCCCTAGAATGGTATTGTATCATATAGGTGGGCTGATTTGACTTGGGTCTTAAATGAAGGCTTGGGGTATACAAGTCTTCTTCCCTTCTTACTAACTAGAAACTTCAGGGGTGATGTCATCGGAGTGTCCACAAATGGCATTGTTGACATTCTAGTTGAATTTTTATAGGAGCCGATGATATTAAATGTGAGTCTCTATGGGGCTTTAAACATAATAATCAAGGCATGGAGTGGATTTCTATCTCCCACAATAATTCTCCTGCAGACATTTCTAATTTAGTGAGAGCAGTCTAAAGAGTAATAAAAGGCTGTTTTCAACGCCTTCTCTGATGAGCACCTCCCAACGACACACATGGGAATGAAGGAAATACAAAAGTTGGATGAGGGCATGCCAAGCCTCTGTCACAATCAGCCACCACCAAGGAGGCTGCCTGCAGGCTCTCCCTGCCCTGCACCTATTCCCTCTGCTTTTGGCACTGCCTCTCAGATCTCCTTTGCAAACCACCCTCTCCATTCCGGGGCCAGGTGAGGACTCAAAACGACTCCTGGCTCCAAAGTCACAATCTCTGCCAATCAGGAGTTTTCTTCTACCCTTTTTGCCCTTTGTGATTAGTTCAGGAATAGGTGCACGATCCAAGGCAAACCGATGAATGTCAGGCAGTGAAGTTCTGCCAGAACTACCACGCAAAAGGTGCCCTCAGGATGCTCGGGTTATTTAGCTGATAGGTTCTCACGCTGTAGGTACCAGTGGCTCTCTTGACGTAGTTTGGCAATGCTTACTGGAGAATTAAACCCACGCAGAGGAAAGCAGAGATGAAACATGGAGAGAGTGGCTTACTATCCCTGACGGAGACTCGGATTTGATGTCTGAAATCGAGGCTACCCTTGGTTCCTTTGATTGCGTGAGCCCCCAAATTCACTTCCTGCTTAAACCAATCTGAGCTGGATTTATGACTCATATCCAACAGTGCAGATTAATGGAACCACTATAAGTTTGAAAGGACAGGAAAGAAATAAAAGCACCATGGGGGAAAAAAAAAACACTTTGAAATTAATAATCAGTAACAAAATAAATTCAAAACCAAGCAAGAATTAAAAGATTCACCCTTAACTCGCTAGGAGCCAAGATATATACATTTCTGGCATATCTCCGTGTACTTTTCACACTCACCCAGAGAGATTGTTAAAATGCCTATTTCAGGCTCCATACTCTAGAGAATAGATTCGGGTGAGGTTCCAAAATGTACATTTTAATTTTATTTATTTTTTTTTTTCAGTTTTGGTAAGGAACCAGGCAGACTTCTCTTTATTTAGTTTTCATTGTTTAAGGCAGAAAAATGAAGGACTATTTTTATCCTTTATTATTTCTATTATGTTTACTTAAAAAGTAAAAAAATCAAAAAAAGGAAAACTATAAACAATTACAAGCTAGTTTAATAATACATAATTTTAAAATTTGAATATATCTTTTAATTGATTTTTGTGAAATATAATATTGCCTAATATGAGCATCTATTTTATTTTTTAAATTTTTTTGAGAGACAGGCTCTGACTCTGTTGCCCAGGTTGGAATGTAGTGGCCCAATCATAGCTTACTGTAACCTCAAACTCTTGGGCTCACGTGATCCTCCTGCCTTGGCCTTCTGAGTAGCCTGGACTAGAGGTGTGCACTACCACACCTGGCTAAGTTCTTTAGTTTTTACGTTTTTGTAGAGACAGGGTCTTGCTATGTTGCCCAGGCTGCTCTCGAACTCCTGGCCTCAAACGATCCTCCCACCTTGGCCTCCCAAATTGCTGGGATTACAGGTGTGAGCCATCGTGCCTGGCCAAAATGTACATTTTTAAAGTACCCAGGTGATGGAGAGTCAGGGAGTATAAGAACCACACTTTGAGGACACAGATACAAAGAGATCTCCAAAGAAAGGAAAGAAAAAAGTGAGGGGAAAAATCAGTTGTTTAGAAAGTCCTAATGTCACTTGGGGTTCACTCCTTTCTGCATTAGAAGAACCTGCCACGTTCCAGAATCGCTAGACCCTCTGGCTCCTGGGAGAGGTGTTGTCCTGCACCAACGGGCCAGGGGTGAGAGAATGGCTCATCCTCAGGCTGCTGAGTCCTCTGCCCACCAGGCTGAAGACACAGCGAGACGTGCGTACAGACGCACAGAAGGCGTCTCCAAACAGCCTGAAGGGAGCCGGGGCCTCGGTTCCAGACAGTTAGTGGACTCAGGGTTGCCAGACACCTGATTTTTCAAGAGAAGATGGAAATCTGCATTTCTGTGCAAACTACCCCAGTTTTTCAACCCTAATTCCCTTAAAAAATAATGCGGCATGGCACAAGGAAAAACGTGAAAGGTAGTGACTACAAGCACTGACTCACTCCGGAGGCACGCAGAGTTTAAATCCTGGCTTTATTAATGTGGGCAAAGGTACTGGACCTCCGTGTGCCTTCACTTCCTCATCTGTAGAATGGGACAATAACAGGACGCAGCTTATAGTGTTGTGGGGAGATTAAATGGGTCATGCACGTAAGGCACTCAGGACAGTGTCTAGCACACAGCAAATACTATTCAAGGGTCAGCAACCAGGAGCATCGGCACCCTCTGCGTCCAAATTATGATTAATTTTCGTCTTCAGTCCGGGTCTGGCCCCGGGCTGCCAACATTACCGACAGGTAGAAAAAGGATAAGTTAAGATACTGGACCAGAAACCAAATCCTAGTTCTGTTTCCAGCTGTGCAGCTTTGGAAGGGACTTTACCTTTCTGAGCATGTGACTCTTGATCTGTAAAATGGGCATAAAGCACATGCCACAAGAACACAATGACTTTTTTTTTTTTTTTTTTGGAGACAGAGTCTCGCTTTGTTGCCCAGGCTAGAGTGAGTGCCGTGGCATCAGCCTAGCTCACAGCAACCTCAGTCTCCTGGGCTCAAGCGATCCTCCTGCCTCAGCCTCCCGAGTAGCTGGGGCTACAGGCATGTGCCACCGTGCCAGGCTAATTTTTTCTGTATATATTAGTTGGCCAATTAATTTCTTTCTATTTATAGTAGAGACGGGGTCTCGCTCTTGCTCAGGCTGGTTTCAAACTCCTGACCTCGAGCAATCAGCCCGCCTCAGCCTCCCAGAGAGCTAGGATTAAGGCATGAGCCACCACGCCCAGCCCAGAATGACTTTAATACATGTAGAGTGCTTGGAAAAGTGCCAGGCACACCCAGTCCCAAAATGCTTGGGACTAGGACCTCTTATTAGAAACACAAAGGTCCAAAGTCAGTGACTTTCTTTAAACATAACAGTTAAGAAGTGTCAAACAGCCAGGAGAATGGGAGACATTAATATTTTCATCTAAAAATTTTCATTAACCTATTTTAATAGAAACTGAATAAGAAAAGGGCAGTGGTAATGGGTGAGCCACTACAATTAAAATGAAGGACACACTCAGTTTAACATTAAGGGTATACATGTTTTACAAAAGCCCTGCCAGTGTTCTAAAACACTACATAAAGGGAACATTAGCTTGCTGAGAAAATATCTCAAGTAATCTTAATTTCCCAGAGGGGGAAAAATCCCTCCAGCAATTAGACTTTATTTAAAATTACCTAAATATTTGTTTTTATTTTATATGCTTTTCATGTCTTCTTCCCAGCTCAACACAACCTTAAACAATCTCATCCTCTGAAAGAAAACGCAAGGTCCAAAGATTCTCATCTTTGCAGCAGACACAGGGCAGGCTCAAGAATTCATAGTTTCAGTCATGGCTTTGACTTTCACACACGTTCAGATTTTAACCCTTTGGACTCGGATGTCGAGTGTGGATAATGTCGAGTGGATAATGAGAAAAAAGCAAGCGAGTGCAAAGGGTTAAAAATTCTCCCATTTAATTTACTTAACACTTGGTAGTCCTGTTATTGCTTTCTTACTAAAAGTTGCCAATGAATCCAAAGAGGACGGGTAGAATGGAATAATGGAACCAGACTGGAAGGGGCGGAAGGGGGCTTGGCTCTCCCATTACTCACTGGTTCAACATGTGCTTGTCCTTCAGAGTTTTGATCTGCAAAACTGGGAGGGTAACATCTGTGTTACTCATCTCTCAAGATTTCCAGGAAGTTTACCGGATATATGTGAAGATGGTTTGTAAACCATAAACAAACATGCGTGACATTTTTATTCATAGGGTTAACCAGAAGCTTCCAAGAACTTATGAGCATGTGCACACCTACATACACACATTTAACATACTCTTGGGGATTTCAGGAGGTGACTTCAAGAACCTGAGTTCACGTCAAAAAAAAAAAATTTCCAAAGCTTATTTTAAATTATACATGCTTTTAGTTTTGTGTGCATCTCTCACTGTGCAAAACCACTCTGCATCTTGGAAGTTTTCACAGAGCTGATGAACTTGATTTAAAATGCAAATGGCACAGTAGATGTACGCGCAGGTTTTGGAGTCATACTTGTTGGGGTTGGAATGGCAGACTTGACACTCACTGGCTTTGTGATATTGGACAAGCTATGTGACCTCCCTAGTATATTCACAAAAAGTTTAGCAAAACGCCTGCCACAGTCTGCACTTGAGAAGCATTAACTCTTGCAGAAATTCTCTCGACATTCCAAAGCAATGCTTGATCACTGCCTAACAGTAAAAAGGAAGTGTCAGAATCCAGTATGTGACAATAGGGGACTTTTCTGGGGGGAAAGAACCCTAGAAACACAATTAAATAACTTCTTAATGTCTCTTGGAGGTGTTCATTGATGAACCAGCTATTTTTTAGTTGTGGTGGTTTGTTATATACCTTCTAAGTTGTCTGTAATGAACAAAATATTTTCACAAAAGCTTTTATTTGTATAGATCACTATGTGCTTTGGTCAACAATGTAACTCTACTTTTCATTAAGCTCACATAAGAAGTGTTTTCCCTCAGGGGCTCTCTGTTTAGGTCCATAATTTAGGCACAATTTGTAGAAGACTGCCCTTTGTGCTCAGCAGTCAGTCCCATGTGAGTATTTGAGGTGAATGCTCACTGCTCAGCTACTGCCTCAATCCTTCCCAGGATGCTTTTGGCCACTGGGCTCTCTGTCTTTTGCCTCCAAACATTCCCAGTGTTATTCCAGCAGGTTGTTGAGACACGTCTCCTTCAAAAGACTCAAGCAAAAGGCAGCTAAAAGAGCAGCCACAGCAGGTGAATAAAAATATCCTGGAAAATATAATTTTTATTGGCTCCATGGTATTCCTGCATCTCAATATGACGCCCATGCCTTTATCACTGTTGGCCCGACCGGAAGTCAAGACCTCATTATGCTATTGTCACTCTGTGCTCCAAGTGGATTGCTACTGAAACTGATTCAGGGTACAAAATGCTGTGACACCCCTAGTTTTAAATACTTATCATGAACTGGGTAGTGACAATTACTTGAAAGAATCAGAATGAGTCAGTGCATGCCAGATTGTCAGCTGTCATGGGTATACTTCTGTAGGTGAGGGGACATTCAACATACTCTGTACACAGTAAGGAGGTCCCATCACATGAATATCTCAAGGACACTTCTTTCCCAGTGCATCCTACTGGCCTTCTTGGTGTTAAGTCAGGAACTGGAGGACTTGACATCATCGGCTGCCACCTGGCTTTCTGTTTTGCGCAGAAACTAATAATCAGAGTGACTTTAGCAATGATGACCTGGGCCCAGGCATTATTCTACGGTGCCAGGATTTCAAGTGAGGATTTCACGGGGTCGGATTTTCTGGGGCATGTCTTCTAGACACAGAGATTTATAGTAGTTAGAAATAGGAAATGCATCAAGACCTACACTCAACTACCTCTACTTTGTTTTTGCTTTCTACCAAGAAATCTACTTAATATGTGGACGATAAACAATGGCACACGAGTTTCTTGGGGACAACCCAATCTGCAGGACAGGGTTGTGCTGCTGCACTTCGTCCACAAGGTCTTTGGTTTCTGTGACCACAGAAACAGGGTTTCTGAGTTGTATCATGGTTTCGTATTTTTATTTATAAAAAATATCAAGACATTAAAGTGTAAGTTTTTTTTTAAAAGAAATGTTAACACTTTTTCACAATCTGTTTTCATTTCAGTAACGATTACTATAAATGGATGAAATATTCCTGAGTGGGTGAAATCAGCTGATTTCAATAAAAGCACATGTAAAAGATTACAAATTTCTTCTAGATGTTACAACTGTTAAGTCAGCCACTGGCCTAATTGAGAAAATGGGATTTTCATGGAATCGAATTCTTATGGCTAGAGGGGAAACTCAGAAATGATCTAATCCTAGCCAGTCATTTCACAGATGAATGAGGACAGGCATAATGGTCACAAAAAGACCACTACCAAGAGCCAAGCCAGGGTAACAAATCTCCTCTTTCTTTACCCAACACTTCTTGCATAAGGGTTGGGCTATGCTATTCCTGTGACAACAAAGTCATCAAAAAAACTTTTGTTACCACCCTGATCAAATTTAGGCTTCTGAGCTTAGTTAATGAATGCTAAAACTCCAAAGAGGCCCATATAGGCTGTAGACAGCATTCGACAACGACAAACTTTTTCCTAAAGTTTAAAGGAAAATAGAGTCCCCTAGTCTCCCCCTTCACTTGGGCCGACTCTAATCAAGTCTTGACCAATGTACGGTCATGCAAGAGGTCACCATGAGACAGGATGATATCCAATGTCGAAAATTGGTAACTTGTTCATAGCTACAACTCTAAAACATTAAAGAAAATACTTGAGTACAGAAAAAAATAGAAGAAACAAGATGTTCTTCTAAATCACAACATTATAGGCTGAAGTTACATCTTATTCAGTTGTTACATTTTGAGATACTATGTAAATATTCCTCATACAGGGAAAAATATTTTTAAACAGTTCTGGGTCACTGTATTAACCCAAGGAGCACGAATTATAGCCTCTGTGAATGGTGCTTCCCTGGAATTTTACAATGTCCAACCTGTATGGCCTCACCCAGGGGACCTGTCCTTGAAAAGCCCCTTAATGATATGGCATATCTAAGGTTGAGGATAGTCCTAAACACAGACATGAATATACAATGCAATCAGTAATATATGCTGTATAATGTAGAATGCATATGCAACATATAATCTCAGAATTTGACTTTTCCATCTTTTCTCCTTTTAGGGCATATAGTAAAAATACACAAACGTTAGTTAATTGGACACATAATATACTTTCTATTTACAAAGGTATAACAGGATGCTGCTAGCTTTCCATACAGCATCAACCAAAATTAAACTAATAAAACACATTTTCATTTTTTGCTTCACAGCAATCAACCATAATGATGGAGATGTTGCCAAAAAAATAAAGAATAAAATAAAAGCAATGAGTAAAATACAAATATTTTTATATATGTCATTTTGAAGAGAAACAAACCATGCTGGTTATTCCTGACTCTCTTCCTCACACATTTACCCCCAGCTCCTTTAAGATACTTGGGTGAAGTCAAACTATTCCAGGTAGGTAAGGAGTATGAAAAGGAGACCAGCGAGAAAGGACCACCTCTTCCCCGAGCAGTATGTGGTCCAAGTTCGAATTCTGACGACTGACTTCCTCTTGAGAACAGCATCCTTCTCAAGACTCTTTGCAAAAGCCTCCCTTGCTGCCCCCTCTCCCCACATCCACTGAGGGGGACGTGGCCTGGCCTTTACCTGTAAAGCTGCTGTTCATCTCAGGGACGTCATCCTCCTCCTCATTCTCCGCAGGGACTACGCCAGCATTTTGCATGTCATTGTAGGACTTGGTTCGCTTCGGGGTCGCCTGCTTGGAGCCAGACTGAAGGCTTTGCAAGGCATCCGTGGTGATCACTTTCCCACTGACTGGCTGGTTAGGAGGTTTGGGTGTCCCATAATAGTTTCCTAGGAGACGAAGAGACACATTTGCATGTTTCAAAAGGAATACTTTGTATGTTTTTTTTTTTTTTTTTCAAGACTTCACATCCAAATCTCTAGGCACATTAAAAAAAAAAAAATTAAACTGGAAAACCAAAACAAACTGCATTTCATGTCTGGAACGGGTTGGCAAAGATGTCTATCCTATCCAGCTAGATACCGAGATTTCAGAAGGGAAGCGGGAAGCTGTATTGTTTCAGTGCTAAGAACTTACCAGGGCTAAAAACAAAGGAGGTTGTACTGAACAGCAAACCTTCCTCCTCATTGCATCTGAATGTCAATTGGTCATCTTTTTACATATATGCACCAGCACAATGCTGAATTCCACTTAGAGTGAGCCTCACAGAGAATAAAAAATTCATTACTGCCAGTATCCTTACAGGCCTAAAACGTGGAGGTCGCCTTCTCTTAATAAGGGGACTCTTGAAAAAGGAAGCAGGACAATATTTAAAAAGGAGGACACTGAACGCCACGTGGAGCCTCTTCAACTGAATGGCAGGCGCGACTCTTAGGGTCGTGCGGGGTGGGTAGGAACCCTTGCCAAGTTGTAATAGAAACCCCTGTGCCAATGGTGCCCCCCTTATGGGTCACTAGCCCCGCCGTGGCCCGTGTGCACGTTCAGCCACTATTCCCAAAGTTTGGTTAAGGGCCCACTGCAGTGTGCTATGCGATTCTCAACGGTACATAAATGGATTTTTTGCATACTTGCTTTTAAATTTTAGTAGATGTGTATATTTTTAATATGCAATAGAGAAATCTCACTAGAGAGCTATGGTAGTGACATCAAGTTTGCCTTTAAAACTTAAGAAAAAAACAATTCTTTAAAAAGTGGACTTATGTTTAAAATCTTAAAAGGCAGCTCTATATAATAAGAAATTATTTAATAATCAATTGAATAAATAGCGATGACAGTGATAAGAGTTCCCTTTTGAAAACTTAAGTTAAAAAGTTATTTTTAAAAAGCAATATAAGTAACCTTAACACTTGTACCCCCGTAATATGCTAAAATAAAAAAAAGTAAGGAAAATGCTAAATAAATGATACCAAAATAAATAAATAAATAAAAAGCTGTATTAAAGAAAACATTACATAAATAATAGATGTGTTCTGATACAAACATTATAAAGGTAATTCATGAATGATCAAAGTTTAAAGAACACAGTTTATATCAAAAATATTCAGTGACTACACCATAAAAGATGTCAATGTTAGAATGTTATTGATCCATTTGCCATTTGGTATCTTTTAGAGTAAGACCAGGAAGACAGGAAATGATGTAGAGTCTGCAAAAAAACCCTAACCAGTATTTGTAATTCTATGCTTAGTAAAGCAGAATTTGTAAATTATAATAGATTCTGTATACACTGTTTCTTCCCAACGATGCAAACTCATTGTTTAACCACAGTACGCAGTTACATAACACACATTTTATTATACATGCACCAAAAGATGTGCAAAAGGAGACTACTATATTAGTCTTCATGAGACATACAGATGTTTTCATGAAGCTCTATCCTTATAATTAAGATTTCTTTTTTAAGAGAAGAGGGTTTCATATTATTTAACATGCTTGTTTGAATCATCAAATTTATGAATGTACACACTCACTTTCTTGGAGAGAGGTGTAATAATAGAGTGTATCAGCAGGGGAATGCTGAACACACAGACTTGTAAAAACACATCGATTAAACGGTACCACATTGAAATTTGAAGAATCCCAGGTAGAAATCTGATAAGCCCATTCTGATGGCTTGCACTGTACTCAATGGTTAAAGTTTTTTCACGGAAGATGGTCTACCAATTTCTTCAAAAGACTTCTTCATAAGGTTTCATACTTAAAGGCATAAGAATACAGCAGAACCAGCTTGGTAGCTTTCTAATTAACTGAGGACTATTTATGTAGTTAAGTTTAGGAAAGTAAGATAATTAACTATTTAGAAAATAATCTCCACACTGAGAAAAAAAAAAAAAAAAGAGGGAGAGAGAGAGAGAGAGAGAGAGAGAGAGAGACAAAGCTGTACTGAATTAATTAATGTAGGTTTTTTGAAGGTACTCTGTAAACTACTGGGTGTTATAAATATGAGTTGGTGTCATTATTCTTTCCAGTATTTCTTATTTCCCATACTGTAACCCACAGCCTTTACAGAAAAGCTTCTATCGAGTGGTTTTCTAACTACAGAGGGTTCAAACTTTCCTTCATAAATATGTTTTGGGAGATTTTTTTGGTTGTTGTTGTTGTTGTTGTTTTTTGCTACACATTGCTTTACAATAATTTGATTTCATGAGCAACATCTAAAAGTGGAATGTTTCCAATTAAAATCTGGATTCTCGGTGCCACTTGTCGAACTTCCAAGGTGTGGTCCCAGGGACTCCATCTCTTATGGGCAATGCTGACAATAAGCAAGAATGTGTCTATAGTCAGCTCATATGAATCCGCTCACCGAGTCAAAGAATTCTGCAGAGAAGTTTTTGCTCCTACTTTTGGTTCTGCCCCAGGCCCTGCCAAACACCCCCAGTCCAGAGCAGCGAGTGCCCAAAGGCTGAACGCAGGGACATGGACAGAGGCATGAGTAGGAATGTGAAAAAAAATCTCTAACTTCAAACAATCCTCGATAACTCACAAATCAGTCTTTGAGTGAGTTGATTTTTGGTGAATCTGCATGTGGCCACGGGCTTTTGGCCGATTGGGTATTCTGCTGTGAGCTGTCCTTACTGCCCAGCAACAGGCAGTTGGTCACCCTCTCTCCAGTTTGCCACGGTCACCACTGGTCCCCACTGCCTTTCCCCAGCCTATTATCGCTCTTACACAACCTGTCTGGCCCCTTGGACATTTGAGCTCATGACCCCAACCTTCCAGAAAACTCCAGGCCCCTTGGACACTTGAGCTCATGACCCCAACCCTCCAGAAACCTCTGGGCCCCTTGGACATTTGAGCTCATGACCCCAAGCTTCCAGAAAACTCCAGGCCCCTTGGACATTTGAGCTCATGACCCCAAGCTTCCAGAAAACTCTGGGCCCCTTGGGCATTTGAGCTCATGACCCCAACCTTCCAGAAAACTCCAGGCCCCTTGGACATTTGAGCTCATGACCCCAACCCTCCAGAAACCTCTGGGCCCCTTGGACATTTGAGCTCATGACCCCAAGCTTCTAGAAAACTCCAGGCCCCTTGGACATCTGAGCTCATGACCCCAACCTTCCAGAAAACTCTCCACCTTACCAATAGTCCCCGCTCTGTTCATAATCAAGCGAAGTGTAGCCACGGCAGAAACACTAACCTTACAGAGAGTATGCACCATGCACGAGAGACTCCAAAGGGAAGAATATATGGATTATTTAATGGTACTAAATAAAAATCATTTAAAGAATTATAAATGGTTAAAAAATTAATTGGGGTTATCATTGGCAGGCAGCACAGCGCCTAGGAGCCACGAGCCTGACTGTCCCACAGGCTCTGCATCCTGACACAAGCTTCCTGGGATGGCCTGGCTGCCTCCCAAGCGGGAACACGTTCCTCTCTGCTGCTATTTTCAGAACTGGCTCTACAACAAAGCTCAACAGGGAAGGCGGCCAGGGAGGGAAGCGGAGGGCAAAGGAGGACTTCAGAGGAAGCTACTGCTGGCCTTAATTAACACGCACAATCTCTGGCCACGACAAAGCCAAAGAAAATATTTTCTGACACACATTTAAAAATTAATAGGGACTGCAAATCAATTTTTAGAGCTTTATAAAATATTTAAGGGGGACCGTGACCCTGGATTTTAGGCCAGAATGAATCAAATCTGCATGGCCTCTCAAACGTGTACAAATTTAGTATTCAGTCATTCATTACCCTACAGAGAACGTGTTTAATGCCAGGTACGGCACTAGGCACTGGGGGGAAAAACATGAAAATGGAACTGAACCGTGATCTTCACAAACATTCTATATGGCATATGTCGGTTTTCTAGAACTTCCATGCGCAAACAACTGAATTGTATTACATGAAGATTCTGATTCAGATGGTCCAGGGTGGGCCTAAGAGTCTGAGTTTCTAACAAGTTCTCGAGTGATGCTGAAATCAGTTGGTCCACGGATCACCCTTTGCACAGCAAATGTGCAGAGAACAGAGAAAATTCTTCTTCTTTTGCAGATGAGGGACATGGAGGCCCAGAACAGCAGAAACACCTGTCTTAGGGCCACATGGCTGGTCCAGGGCAAATGGGGGAGTGGGACACTTGTCTGTCTTCTTCCTACAGGACAAGCAGGAGACCAGGATGGCAGTGGCACCACTGGGAATGCAGAGCACACCTACTCAGCCGGGCTGCATCACCCTCTAGGGGCAAAAATGGTTTTGTTTTGTTTTTTTTATCCGTATGGGGGCAGGGATGGGCATAAAAACCTGACTCTCTTCATGTGTAAAGTACAGATGTGCATACAGTCCTGGAAGACACAGACATCCAGCACTCCTGATTTTGCTTTGGCCTCAAGGCCCTGAGTAGTCTGATCCTTGTCTACTCTCTGGGCACCTGTTCCATTCCAGTTCCCTTCGCCTTGTTCTTTCTGCTCTGGCCTCACTGGTCTTCCTTCAGCCCCCACAAGTAAACTGTGCCCCCTCCTCCTCTTGCAGCTCTTGTACACACTGTCCCCTCGCCCCTCTGCTCCTCACCCTGGCACTGCCTGCTCGGGCTCAGAGGCAGCATTCCTGATGCCACAGGCCACATCGGAGCCATCCTCATCAGTTCTTCTATGTACTCAAGGCTCCGTGCACCTCTCCTTCTTTGCAGCATGCGCCAGACTGTGCAATAATCAGTATCTGTCTCCCCCCAGCCCTGCTCCACGAGGGCAGTGCTTTTGTGCACCACTCTGTCCCCATGCCTGACACCATGCCGGGCACGTAAACATCGCTCAGGGGTGTGATGCAGGAGGAGTAAACGAACAAGTGGCAACAGTGCCCGTGAGTTCCAGCCTGGGACCCTCCCAAATGCCTG